ATAATTTAATTAAATATCAGCAAAAATATCTTGAATAAAAATATCTTAAGATGTTTAGAGCACTACAAATGCAATAATGCACAAGTTTTTATAATTAACTTGATAAACGAAAGCGTTTAATTCAATTGTTTCTCATATCATGGGACACAAGCCTAAACTTATCTTTATTTCATTTTCAGTTATTTGTCACTAATTTTTCATACGCATTTTAACAAATTATTGTCAAAATGTATAGTTGAATTTATTTAAAATATATATATATATATATATATATATATAATAAACTAACCCACAGCAATAACATAAATTGCATAAATATATTTTGTTAATACTAGAACATCAAATGAATCAAAATATCTGCGAACTGATATCAACTTGTTTTTACAATTACAAAAACACATATTTTAAACATTAATGTTTAAAATTTTGGTTGAGACGAGAGCATATATATAGTTACATATATTTGTAATTAACCACGTATATTCAAATATTCTACATAACAAAGTTGTTCTCAATGAAAGAAACAAGTTCAAGATGCCTGTATCCATTTTCAATAAAGACATAATCGCGCGTACGTTCGAAGTCAGTTCGTAACTATGTACACGATACACATCTTATAAAATATCGTGCTGAAACAAGCGACAGTCTGACATTATACGCGAGGCATGCAAGATTCGTCCGACAGTCGACGCGTTAATAAGGTCGGGCTAAGTATCGCAGCGAGAAAGAGGATAGGAAGAGTTTATCGCGGCGCGGAGCTGAAAGCAATGCATATCGCATCAGCTGTTTCCCGACCTCCTTTCGGAGCGTCCCTCGAGCGAAATTCGTCTACCGCTCTAAGTATAGCCGGCCGCTGCCGTAATCTCCGGACGCGTGCACATCGTTGACCGAATCTACGAAGCGGCATTAGCCGCTGGTACGCTTGTCCCCTGCGAGCTGGTTAAAGAGAGAGAGAGAGAGAGAGAGAGAGAGGAACGACGAAACAATCGCATGCCTGGTGCACCGACTCGAATTCAAGCCGTACCAGTCGGCCATGAGATTCTTTCGAAGAATGTTTATAAATAGTTCCAATGAAAAATAAAACGTTCGCGAGCTAAAGCTTTCGTTAATGACACGAATCGCCACGATGAATGGAAAAAAAAAAAAAAAGAAAAGAAAAGAAAACCTCGGAAGTTCCGGCTCAACTCGAAAGTGCAAGAACTTTCATCTGAAGCATTTACGGGCACTGCGCGACACGTAATTATCAATTTGTACCGACTGCGAATGTGGACGGGCCGTTTTAAAAACAAATTCCGATTGGAGGGCAATGGGCGGCTAAATTGCGGCTGCTTGCCTTTTGTAAACCGAACGGAACGGCGAAACGGATCGTGCAAACAAGCACCGGCCGTTTAACGCCGTTTAAGGTTAATCCAACGATAAGAGTAACGACTAAAGATGTCGAGCTAAACTCGTAGTCAAAGTAAACGCGGAGGAAGCTCGAAGCAGTAGATGTTTACCAGCGAGTCGTTCAAGCATTTCACTATCGATCACGGCTGAAAGCGTTTCCGATGCATAACTAGAGCAACGACATAATTCTCTGGATGAAAGAGAGGTACATATGCGCGGCGACGGTCGCGCGCGCGAACCGATTGGATGAACCACTGGGAAGGGGGGAGAGGGGGGAGGGGGAGGGGGCGCCGGTCGCGGGCCAAACGTTTTTTAAAAGGGAAGAAAGCACGTGAGAGTGATAGGCGGACGAGAGGAGTATAGCCAGCCGGGTTGGAAGGTCGGCGAAAGAAGCGAGAGAGCGATTCTAGAGCCACGGAGAGAGACACGCAGGAAGGAGGAAAGGGAAGGAAGAAGGGAGGCAGTGAAAATGTAACGTTCTATCTCCTCGGTTCGCGAGAGACTGAAGAGGCGCGCAAGCGCGTTTGCTTGTTCGCATTGAGTGGATCGAGGCGGAGTGAGAAAAGAAGCGGGAAAGACAAAGAGTGGGAGTGGGACGGATCGAGGGGGGGGGCGGTGAGTGAAAAGCAAAAGATAAAGTTTCAGCCGGTGATGAAGAAAGACGGAAGAACGGAGAGAACGGAGATGGAAATTACAGTGAGAGATAGACACGGTGGACACTGAAGGAAAAGGCTCACGGGAGGACGAACAGAAAGAACGGAAACGTGAGTCGCAGAATATCGAGGAGAACGAGAGAGAGAAAGAGAGAGAGAGAGAGTCGTAGGAAAGGGGAAGAAACAAACGAAACGAAACGAAATGAAAGAAAGAAAGAAAGAAAGAAAGAAAGAGCAAAAGAAAAGAGTGGAGGGATCTGCGGAGCTCTCTCGCTCCATTCTTGCGTATTACGTGCACGGACACGCGGAGCCTTGTATTACACCATTACCGTGACAAAGAAACCCTCTATTCAGCCGCATCCGAGCGACAAAGATGAGACTAAAGAGTATAGAATGGTTGCGATTTTCACGTACACACGTTCTCGTACGTGTGCACACTGGTAAACGAGGTGGACGTATTATGCGTCGCGTAGCTAGACAGAGAAACGAGAGAAAGAAAAGGCGAAAAACAGAGAAAGAGAAGAGGAGAGCGCAGAGGGGAGAGAGAAAGATAGACAAAGTCCGTGCTCTTATCGTACGAGTACAGTTCGTGCATGTGCATCGGTGAACACAAACACACAGAGTTGAGTTCCACACGTGAATCGAGACGCGCGTTACTTGCACACAATGTCACAGTATACATAAACGTACACGGAAGGAGCAACACCTCACAAACGAGGCCTAGGCAAGAGAGCTATTTGTAATGTAATAGTGAGAGCACCAGTGGGGAAAGGGAGAGTGGAGGAAGGTGGTGGTAGGTGGAGGGGCAAATGGTGGGAGGAAAGAGTAAACGCAGGAGAGAGATAGACAGAGGGAGAGTGAGTAAGAGAGGAAGAGAGAAGAGAAGAGGTGCCACTCGACGAGGAACCAATACTACGGTCCCTTTACAAACCAACTCACGAGGCTCGCGAGGCCTCCTCTCTAACGTGAGTATTCCGCCGGGAGTTCTCGAGAGAGAGAGAACCGTGCTTTTCGGACCCTCAACCCTTTCTGGGCTCGCCTGTAAGCCACGGGGGCCCACCTGGCCTCTTCTCTACCACCACCACCACCACCACCAGAGTCACTACTACCACCGTTACCATTATCGTCACTGTCACCATCCTGCCACGCTCCTCCGATCAGTGGATGGTATATACGCGCTCGTTTCAAGCGGTATTCGTGTACCACCACTACCAACGAATCGCATCAACCACCACCATCGTCACCGCCACCACCACCACCACCACCACCACCACCACCGTAGTCTCTCGCCGACTGCCCAGTCTACCTCTCTCCACGTTTACCTAGGACCAGCCAGAGAAAGAGAAAAAGAGAGAAAAAGTGAAATATCATACGCCGGACTGAGATAGAGATAGAGATAGACAGAGAGAGTGAGAGAGAGAGAGAAAGAGTGAGAGAGTTAGAGAGGGAGAAAGAGGGAAAGAGAAAGAAGGAAAGACTGAGAGAGCAGCACGGTGAGAAAGAGAGAGAGAGAAAGAGAGCGAGAGAGAGAGAGGTAAAGAGTAAGAGAGGGTCTCGGGTTTGCGCAAAAGTTACGACGGAGCGAGGAGCAGTGAGACACACCGCGGAGACCGGAAGAGACCCTCTCTCCCTGAAGAAGTCCTCCGGCGAAGTGAGAAAGAGAGAGAGATCACGCGCGAAAAACACACATCGTGTGTCGATCGAACGTGTCGTTTCTGTGTATGTTGTTGTTGTTGTTGTTGTTGTTGTTGTTGTGCGTGCGTGCGTGCGTGCGCGGCGGTGTGTGTAGTGAGGAGCAAATTTCGTGAAAGCCAACGAGACGACGACAACACTGTCAACGCCGTCTCGTTTCTATCAGTGGACGTGCTCGGTGGTCGCCGTCATACTCGTTGTCGTTGTCGTGGTCGTGGTCGTGGTCGTTGCCGTCGTTCGCCGCGAGTCTTCGCCGAGAGGCCACGTGGCCTCTGGTCGCTTCTGTCTTCCGAGTTTCCACGGGGAGTGTGTGTCAACCAGATCCGGACATTATTCGCACATGTGATTTCTCCTCGATCTCGCATCGCGACGTCCCCGGGGCCAACAACGTTTGACACACAGCACATCGGCGTTATCAGCGCGATCCGTGTGCGCGTTCCTCTGCCGAACGAAAACACCGGACACGTGCTCATCCGCACGTGCTTTGCATCGATGCACGTGCTCTTTAAACAAATCCGGCCGCGCATCGGACCAGCTTTTTCGGGGCTTGAGAAGAATGTCAACGGTTTGAGCGTATCGCGATAGCGTTCCATCGGCCTCGACGTCATTGAAAGATCGAAGGAACTCGACACTCCGGCATAGAGAGGAAAAGGGAGAGAGAGAGAGAGAGAGAGAAAGAGAGAGAGAGAGAGAGACACACACACCATCGCGATAGCTCGGGAGAAATTGCGAAATCGCGAGGAGAATCGAGAGAAAAGAAAGAGAAAGGGGCAAGAAGAAGGAGGAAAGGACGAAAGGAGGAAAAGAAGAAGCTTCGATGCGAGAAAGAGCGAGACCTCCGGTGCTCGGTTGCCGCTTACGTGCCACGAGCAAGAGCGGGCTGCGTTGTGTAAGAGCTGAAAGTAAAAGTTGAAACCGCCGAGTTGGGCTCGCGGGAGCGCGTGCGGAGCGCGCTAAAATCCGATCCTGTCTCGTAGGCTGGGCATAGCCGAATATCTCTACCTCTCTCTCTCTGTCTTTCTCTCGGCGGCTTTCGGATTTGGTCCCACCTTCCAGCTGAGTGTTTCTTTCTCTCTGGACGTGTCTCCTAAGCGAGAGCCGATCGCGGGCGCACCATATTCCCGCGGAAGGAACACGGTAATTGTCGGCAAACGCGAAACAAGTGGAACGCGCGAAACGGAACGAAACAAAACGAAACGAAACGAAACGAAACGAAACGAAACGTGACGTGACGAGACGAGACGGGACGAGACGAGACGAGACGGGGAAACGGGAGGAAGAAAAAAGAGCAAGTGCAATTGTGTAACAACATTTCTAGTCCGTTGCCTCGTGAAATCTGTGTCTAATTTCGATTAGGCGACGCTGAGCACCAAACTCTCCGGTTCGGTTTGTGCCGCGACAGAAAACAGGTGAAAGAGCGCGCATACGGTGGACTCGCAATTCACCCGCGTTGACCGTTGTTCGACTCGTCAAGCGATGGAAACGATCGTTTTCGTACGTCTGTCGGTCGTGTCGTGCGCTACGAAACGCGAGTGTTCAAGGTCGTCGTTGATATCCCACCGGTAACCCGCTTCCGGGACGAAGAAGAGGACACGACAGGACGTGTTGCCAGCCGATTTCAATAGATAGAAACCGAGCCCGTTTTCTCGATCCTTTAAGATCGGCGTGCCCGCTCGCTTCTACCACACGCCGCCGCCGCCGCCGCCGCCGCTACAAAAGTTTCGTAAAACGGATTACAAAACCAGAAGAGAAAGGAGACAGAGAAAGGGAGAGGCAGAGAGGAAGAAGAGAAGGAGAGAGATAGAGATAGAAACAGAGAGATAGATAGATAGATAGAGAGAGAAAGAAAGAAACAGCGGTGATCCGCCGCGGCGCAGGAAATTGTAAGGCAACGATACGCAGTGGAGATACGGTGTTCGAGCACGAGTTTCTGGATCGTCTCCGAGGGGGCGAACGACGACGAAGCGGCCGGCGCAAGTGCCCGGTGCCGTGAAAGAAGAAGTGCTCGTCGGTGCTCGGCGTGATCGGGTGAAAGAGGAAAAGGAGACGGAGACGATCGTCTCTCTGCCGAGGACAGACCGGCAACAGTAGCAGGAGGAGAGACAAGTTTGAAAGACGATCCGGATGTGGCTGAATCCACTCGTTATCTTTTCTCAGCCCTGACGCGGAGACCGCGTCCACTTTTCTAATCTTTCTACGACACACGCTCGCTCGCTCTCTCTCTCTCTCTCTCTCTGGTTGAGACCCTTGCGGAAGGATTTCCTCCGATTGTCTCTCTTTCTCTGCGCTTTCATCAAACAAATCACCGCCGGCGATCCCTTGCTCGACTGTTCGTCGCTCTTTTACAATAAGATCTCTGGAGAGCTGGTGCACGCTGCCGAGAGCGGAGACACGCGGCCGAGCGGAATTAAAAGTGCGCTTAAAAAGGTTAGCGGGATAAAAAAAGGCGCGCGCGCGAAAGGATAAGAGAAAGGAATAGGAGCTACCTCCGAGTCCTTGAGAGTACCCAACGGGTAAAAGTGCCGCGCTCGGAGCCAGCCGGTTGACCCTGGACAGCCAACGGAGCAGACCCCGTTGGAAAAAAGTTCTCCACGTCGTCGTCGTCGTCGTCGTCGTCGTCGTCGTCGTCGTCGTCGTCGTCGTCGTCGTCGTTATCGTCACCGTCGTTGTTACTGTGATCCTAGTTATTGTGTGTCGACACATTGTCCTTCTGTCTTAGGGTGTTGTGCGACGTATCATCGACGTATCACCGGATTACGCTTACCCGATGGGATCACGTGCGACATCCTGTGACACGTGTGAAATTAAGAAGAGCCGCGCTCAGTTTGAATACCACTGCTGATTTCTTTTGCGAATTAGTTGCAAATTACACGAAAACTACGACAACATTGTCAACCAGATATACCAGATATCGATGATTTACAAGGATCGGCTCGAATCGATTTACCTCGTTTACTCACGTATCGTGACTGCGTGGACGTGTTCATCGGTGTGAAGTGATTCAGTGCCAATACGATATTGTCATATTTTGGTTGATGCTCGAACCGTTTCATCCGCGTTTCCGTACGACGTGCCGCGATCTGTTTCTCGTGCCGGTAGTGATACATGCTCCGGTATATCAATGTATGTCACGTGTCTGTACCGTCGTCCTCGTCGCCGCTATCACGGGATTTCGGGTCGTCGGCTCGTGGAGATGCTTCGTGACTCTTCGAGAGAGTCTTAAGGGAAACACCGTTGTTCGCCGACACGCTTTCTTTGGATACCATCGACGTTGGATAAAATACGGACGATTAAAACGACAAGGTGAGAAACGTAGAATACGAAATCAACATCGAAATGCTTTTTTTCGCGAATTACTAGCCGCTATTACAAATTTATTTCATCGATGCAGAAACTGCTTAAATTTAACAGTTGCACGTACAAAAGACCGGAACTGGCGACATATTTGTGCGAAAACCTCGAACGAGTAACGATTCGTGGCTTACTAATTACACGCACGCGAGTATTGCCGAATGAAATGATCTCGTTTGAGAACGAGAATCGTGGAGCCTTTTTTGGGTTTTTAATCTTGCGATCAGTCGACGCGACACGTTTGGAGCAAACGGTGAAACGACAATGAGGAAACTAGCGGAGCCAATGAACCAACGTTCCGTATGTTCGAACGCGAGAGACCGTGTAAATTAAAGTAGCGACAATAATTGGAAGTAGAAAAACGAAGAGGCAGGGTAGATAAATTGCAACGAACCGCACTGACAATGAGAAAATATAAATAATCGAGCGAGTTGTCCGTTCTCTGTCCGAGGAGTCTGCTAAATCTGAATCTCATTCGATTCGCCAGATTTTCGTCCGAATGAAAACAGCAGTGAGAACGTTTCGTTTAAAGTACAAAAGAAACGCTCGTTTATTGGCCATTGTTGTCCTTCGTTAATATCTTTGCAATCTTCAGAAAGTTCGCGCAACGACGTAAAAAAAAAAAAAAGAAGAAGAAACTGCTGGCTGAACGTATAATTCAAGTTCAGGTGTTTCACGATCGTGTATGAACGTTAGTTGCGCAATTGTTTTTAAGAAAAAAAAAAAAAAGAAGGAGGAGGAGGAAAAAAGGATGGAGGAGGGACTCTCGCGAGTTCTATGTGGTCATCAATGGCTCGCGATGACGGATCGTAAAGAAAAAGCGATCTCGAGTCAAGGTCGGGCTCGTCGAAAGGCGTCTTTACGTTCGCCATTTCGTATTCATGTGGCCATTATCTGCCGGATATATTTATGTTGCGTTCTCGCATAGCCGGTGCACATAGGATATTTGCATTCGCGCAGATATTCCGAGATGCGGACGGAAATTACGGTCAAGTTTGGTAGGTGAATCAAGTAGAAAGTCCTTTCGTTTTTTCCACCGCGTCTTTTCGTTCACGACTTCGACAAGAAAAGAAAATTCCGTCGCTGTAAGAAACGAGTTACTCGTCGAACGAGAGAGCTCCCTTTCGATATAACCGGCAAGAGAAGCAATTTTCTTTCGAATCGCTTCACGTAGGACACCTCGGCCAAAGGAACAGAATCTTTACTTTCACATTTCATTTTCTGAACAAATGGTTGCGCCACTCGTGATATTTCAAATGTACACACAGAAATGAATGTGTAATGCGTGTAACACAAGCTGCAAAATATTTTGCGATGGACAGATCAGCGCTCGCTAGATCAGCAGAGTTGGTCAGAGACGAGTTCAGTTACGTTCAGACAGATTGAATCGGCGTGCTCGAAGGAAAATATTTTCATTCGGGACGAGATAATCGGTAACAGGTGCAATATTTACGAGTAAATTATCAAACGGACAAGTAAACAAGCGTTTAATGGTATTTAACGCTTGAAACAACGGTGATTTAAACATCTGTCGCGTGCTTTCCAAGCGCTTTCTTTCGAGAGACGAATAAATAGTAGAACGTTACAGCGCGAATCTCGATCACTTTTATCTGTATTTACGTGCTCATTGATTAACAGACAGTCGATTCATTGCAATCGTGATTAATTAACGAGAAGCTGGTAACGAGTATCGGTAGTTCGATGGGTTACGATATCTATTTGAAAAACAATGTCGCATGCCTCTTACGCCTATTGATATTGATGATCGACACACAACCTGACCAAATCGATCGTGAATCACGTCCAATTGATCTTACGTAAGAGTAGTTTTACGTTTTCCTTTTGCCGAGACGAGACGCGATCGGGCAGGTAGCTCGCGCCTTTTATTACTTTTCCATTCTGCACGAACTTCGGCCGTGTTTTTGTCGCGTAGGCCTCGGTCTTTCTGCGTGTTTCTATTTTTCCAATTCGCACGCGCGCGAAAAAAAAAAAAAATTCATCTCACGGTCGCCGGTGGGATTTAAACGTGAACGGAAGCTGCAACGCATACATTTCGCATTGTCGCGAATGTTTGAAGAAACGTTCGCGCGCATTGATAGCAAAAGCTCGATTATCGCGGGCCGATTGCAAGCAGCTAATATAAGTGCGAGATAACTATAATCACGAATGGGCGGCAGTACCGTACATACACCGGGTGTATATTTAGCTCGATCGTATATTAGCATCCTCTTCTTTTCTCTCTCTCTCTCTCTCTCTCTCTCTCTCTCGTGTTAAGTGTTAAGAAGATATTACTGCGTAGCGGTAATAACATCCGGTGCAATATGGATGCATAAATGCATTACCGTCAGTCGATCTTACGATCTAATACCTGCGACGTGATTATTCATTTGAAAGCAACATTGCTACCCGGAACAAAAATACGTCGCAGTCACGGACACGAGGATTTTTTACTCCACAGTGTAAAATTCATCCATCGTTTGAGAACGGGCGAGCTGGCTCGCGGACCATAACGAGAGACCGTGCCGTCCACAACGATTCTTTCACTGGATAGAAATTATTAAAGTGCAATAAATTTGTTATTTGTCGTTGCCTGGGTTACATTTTCATATACTTAACATACTTAAAACCGAGGAGACACTGCAATTTCGGTAGAAAAGAAATCCTCGACGCGCGAAAGAGGTCTAACGAAACGGTAACGTTGCAAGTTGTTCAATGTGAAGGAAAGCTCGTTTCAACAACGAACAAATAAGAGTTAATAGCGAAGTTCGTTGCTGAAGAACGTTGGGATTTTTCTACGTGGATTGCCCGGCGTGTGTTAACCATTTTCACCTTCCACGGTCCGCCTGCGGTTGCTTCCTCCTCGGACGGTTTCTTCGTCGACGATAAGACGGTTATTAAGACCCGGTCTCGTGGCGTAGAGGCCTCGGATTGGTCGAACGTTTCGACGTGTAGAGCACGTTAAATGAAGTTGCAATTAAGAGAGCTAAAAGCTGCGCGGCTGACTATGCTTCTCAAGGCCTTGGGCCTCGCCAGAGCGTACTTCCGCTTCTGATTAGCTTCCTCTTTTCCCACATCGTCCTCGCCGTTTTCTCTCTCTCTCTCTCTCTCTCTCTCTCTTCCCCTCCTTTCCCCTCATCGCTCCGTTCTTTCTCTTTCCTTTTTTCCACCTCTTTTTTCTTTTACTCAGTTTCCCCTTCGCATCTCTCCCTGTTTTCTTTCTTTCTTTCTTTCTTTCTTTCCTTCCTCTCTCTCTCTCTCTCTCGTGTTTCTCTTTATCTCTGCCGGCCTTATCGCGCACCGTGGGAATCCGCGTGTGCGATTCGCGTCGCGAGAGAGAGAGAGAGGAAGTCCTTAGTCTCGTTCTTCAGCCACCGTTTTCTGCTTTTGCATCTTGATAATCGGCCCTTGGTGCACCATTGGCCATGGACGTTGCCCGCATCGGGCTGTCGTTTCCTACGGCTTTGCGACGTGCGCCGACTTCGCCTAACCCTGCGGGCACTTCACGCTCTCCTGTGGTAATGTCACCGCGTTCAAATTTCACGCTCGTCTTCGGCGGTTGTCGCTGAGGAACATTCAGATTTTCAGCTCGACGTTTTTGACATGCCGATATCCCACGGGAATAAAATTGTCCTGACGATTCTTATGAAACGTTTGTACAGATACAATATTCTTTGCTTGGCTTTTGACTCTTTGCAACATCATTTATCTTTCACGCTGAGAAATATTCGAAGATTTTAATGTACCGATATGTCGTTTACGAATAGAATTCTCTGTTTTTATGTAATCGTTTGTCATTTTCATTAGTAATGACTCTGATGTCTAAAACGTAGTGCTTCGTACTACGAATTCTAGAGATTTTACTTTTTTAATCACACATTCTGAAAACTATGAATTTCCATAAGGATAAGTAAGAACGTAATTTACAAATTTCATCAAAAAAACAGAAACTTGATTCGACATTTACACGTCGATAATTCACTCACAATCATTCTCGCATCATCGACTTTTAGTTTTATCGGCGATATACTATGCAAGCTTCACAAAAAGAAAAAAATTTACAATTAATCGTCACGATATACGTGTGCAAAGTATGCGAGAAACTCGTCATCAAATGTAGTTGTTGAAAGAAAAAAAAAGAAAAAAAAGAAACTTGTCAAAATTTGTTTCTCGAACTCGCAGCAGCAATATCCCGTTGATTATGCAAGAGTAACAGACTCGAAGGCGCGATTGTTGCTTCCCAAGAATGGAATAAAAAAATCGAGCGTCAATAAAAACCTCGGCCGCGGCGACTCCAGTGGTTCGAGACGTTAGGCGAAAATGTTTCACTCGCGGCGTGCACTTTCACTCGAGCCCGAGTTTCGCCGAATTGGCAGAAATACGATTACACCGCGGCGTTGAAATTTCTGCCGATTGCGCGGAACACGGTTGTTCGTCGCGTCCCGATCTTCTCAATGGCGGCTGATCCCATCCACAGCAATGCTAATAAATTTTCTCGATTAATGCGAGAAAATGTCCGATAACTCTCCGATCTAATGGACAGATTCGTGCAAAAGTATTTTATTTGCACGGCCGTATATATGTCGCAACCTTGAATACTCGTCTCGCGAGAGGGAATCAAGAATTTCGTCGACACGTCACGTACGTTCGATTGCGTAACATTTCGTCGGATTATCTTTCAATGAAACACGCCATTCGCATTTCTTTTCCTTTGTCTCTTCTCGAGTGAAAAATATAATAATAGACGAAATACACGAATGGCAATTTTCAGAGAACAGAGTGACTGCTAGCCTAAACGACGAAACTGTTAGTCTCTTTCGTGTCGACAGGATCATCGTCGCTTTCTCATTCTCGTCGTAACAGAATGTTTTATCCTGAAGGTTCGCCGGTATCGTGCTGGCAGTGTTTTTTCCACCCACTCGCGATTGCCGAGAAAACGTAACAGTCCTCCTTCT